GTCGCCTGTAGCCCCCTCCCTGTCCCAGCAAAGGCAGTGACAGCTGGGCTGTGTACACCTCCCTTTCCATCCCGCCAGGCTGCAGCAGCGCTTGCTGTGTTTGCCCAGGGCTCCCCTGTAACACAACTGGTTCGTGTGTGCCGCTGCGGTTCCACAGCGCCCAGCTTGGCCTCTGCTCTTTGTAATCCCAGTGGCTGCAGCTCTTGCCAAGCAGCTGGGCTATGACCTTTCCACCACCAAAAACATCTGGAGAAACTTCCTTTAGCGTTTGGATCAGCTGCAAATTCTTCTCGTCAACATGGTCCGTGCCTTCGACGCACACCCCGTAGGTTAGGGGCAGGATTTTGCCGGCCATGGCGGCTGGAGCGCTTTGCTCGGCCGCTGACCCGGGGGGGGCTGCGCCCGCTGAGCGCGGGGGCTGAGCGGCCAGCCGCGATGTGGCTACGTCCATCTGTTGCTGGTAGCCCGTTTCTGCCGGACGGGAAGGCCACGGTGGCTCCAGTGCTCTGTCCACATAGGGGCTGATCCGTGGTAGCTGCGTTTCAGGGATGAGGAGCGAAGGGATGGATAAACTGATGGGCTTTATGATGTGCTCCACCGTCAGCGTGAGAGGCTGGAATGATGAAATCCCTCGGAAGTCCTGTGAAGCAGATAGACAGACACGAGTTATTAACAAGAAGCGGTTTGCTTTAGATTCTTTAAAATTTTCTTTGGAATAGTATCAGAAAAAAAACCCGTAACAACCAGCAGGGATCTGCTCTGTTGACTCCCAGTCGTCTGCAGGGATTGCCCCAACAATGCTCCTGTCGGCTCATTCACCCTCCGCAGTCAGTAATGCTATTGAAGTGCAGGCACACGGTCGCAAGCATTTTCAAAAGTTGCTGCTGTGGTTTCAGAACACTTACCAAAGACTTGGGCTGTGCACCGTGTCGCTTCAGGTATTTGTAGATCGCGTAACTTATTGCAGCCAACACCAGCCCGGCACTGAACGCGAGTGCCGCGAAGCAGTAGAGAAGCCACGTGGTGTCTGGTTAGTGGGGAAGAGAAGTGGGAAATGAAGCTTCAAAGAGCTGGATTCGAAAAACTGCAAGAGATTAGCTAAATGATGTTACAGGTCTGGTCTCAGAGGACTAAGATGTTTAAATCAGGCAAGTCGGTGTTGCTTCAAGATCTTTACAAAGGCTATGCTGTTTTATACCGGCTGGAAATCCATTTATTTTGTGTATCTGATAGCCTAGCTGGACTTTTAAATTAGCTGAATTAACAGCCTCACCTGCTAGTGTTTTAACCCAAAATACTTGAGATTTGCTGCTTCTCTGGAGGAGAGCTATGTATACTGTTCCGTTGTATTCAGTGTCTGGGTCCAAGTTGGAAACTTCAAATTCTTTGTTGTGCTCGTTCTTTATCCACTATATAAAATAAGGCAAATTCTGTATTTTAGAAAGGCTAAAGGCATACATTTTCTTCAAATCGGGTTACAAAATTCAGCGTAAAATTTTATTCAGTAGTAAGCTGTTATAGGACTATAATAATTCTGTATATATGGAATTCTAAAGACATATTTTGCTTTCTACTGACACTGTCTTTAATTGTTGCATTTCGATTCCTTAAGACACGAACTAATTAAGTCATTCTCTTTTTATGTTGCCAGCGGTTTTAATTCTTGCCACTTACACAGTGCTCTTGAAAACTCCAGTTTCTTTTCCAGGATTTTAGAGAAATGCTTCAAGTTCCTCTTGTCTCCTGAGAGTCAAAGACTCTGAGACTTTCCCTTGTACATCTCATCCCTCATGTATAAACTCAGAGGTCCTTCTCCGTCTTACGCGAAATGTGATTTACAGAAGCCAGCGGGCCAGCGGCCTGAGGTTGTACTTTACCTTTTGGTGTGTCCTTTGGTTGAATATTGTCAAGTGATAATCAACAGCACCAAATTTGCTATAAATGTCCTCGACGGTGAGCTGGCGGTCGTCCTCGCCTCTCAGCGGAGTGTAGGGGGGCCGTATGAGAAACTTTATGGACCGTACGTAAGGAATATACTCCACTAGTGGTGCTCCAATAACAGCTAGAAAAGACAGGGCAGGCAGGGCCGGCTGTTAGGATTAAAGCTGATGTGTTGTCAGATCATTCTGTGCACATCTTATACACCCTCCCCTGACTCACTGCCAATAATTACTTCTGTCTGTATGAGAAAAGGTTTTGGAGCTGTATTTCACTGAGCAGAGGAGAAATCAGACAACTGGAGATACCATCTTCCTTCGGGGTTCTGCCACCTTTAGCCGGTGTTTGTCCCTAGAAATCCTCACCCCAAGCTTTTCTTTAGGACCATGGTCTCGCCGCTTCCCTGTCGCTTCCCTGCCCTGCACAGAGACATCCTCCTTAACGATGTCCTCAACATCAGCGAGACTTGGAATGAATCCCTAGCAAGCAGGACTTAGTGGATCTCAGGAGGGGTACGTACTCTCTTTTCTGGGTTCAAATCTCTCGGAGCGCACCCAGCTGGAGGAGCAGTAGTTCTGGCCGGAGGCCCTCACCCTGGCGTAGTAATGCTCCGTGAAGTTTTCTGTTTCGCGCGTGAGGTTGCAGAAGGGTTGCGTGATGCTCTGGCACTCACGCTTGTTGAGCCAGGATTTTTCTCCATACCTTAGGACAGAAAAAGCTTTTAGTCTGGTAGAACAGATGCCGTACAACCCTTCCCCAGAACCATCCAAGCAGGCTGTTACGCCAAATCTTAGTTTTTTAATTCATGATTGCAATTAGCAGGTGGTGGGGAAGAGAACCCTTGGCCCTTCTCTCTCTGAGAGCAGTGGCCCTAAGAACAACAGAACTCCAAAAAGAAGCAAACTTCACGTACTGTTTATATTGGACGTCAAATACAGTGCCAGGGGGAATATCTGCTTCAGTTTCCCACGTCAGGATGTTCTCGAAGTTTCTAGAAGAAAACGCTGCACGTTTCACACATGATGACCTCTCTGTAGTCACAATGCCTAGAGGAGCAAAGAAGCCGGTGTTAAAATGCAAATTCTGGCATCTCAGCCCTCAGATGGACACGGGTCCAACACTGCTCAGCCTTTGAGGGAGCAGAAGTAGCAGGTGGGCCACTTCCACTGCAAAGCAGGAGCTTGAACAGAACCCGCGTTCAAACCGTGACTGGCATCACCGTGTGTGCCTTGCAGATTTGTAAAGTAAGCCAGGAATTTTTACAGAAAGGCCTCAAAAACTGAAGAGTCAGCAGGAGAATCCCCGAGTTCCTAATCAGATGTCTTGTAAAGCAGTTCAGTGGGGGGGAAACTAGGGACAATAACCTGTTTTCAAGGCTAGAATCGTGTTCTCTGCTTTCTGCCCCTACTCGGGGAAATAATATCAGTCACAACTGAGATCAGTTTCGCATCATTGAAGATCTGACACCCCTTAACCTCTTGTGCTCCGTGTTTTATGACATGGACACTGCAGGTACAGAGTGACAGACAAAGACCTGACACCTGGACTCTGATCTGGGCGTGCCAGGCTGAAGGCAAACAACTCGCTCAGCTCCCTGTTTTCTGAGCCCCACGGAGGATGGATTCTGGCTTCGGTATGCAGACATGTCACCTCACCCTGACAAGCACGTCCCTGCCCTGAGCTGCCTGCGTCGAGCAGGATCCCACCAGGATCCACCCGCAGCAAACGGCCTCTGAGCGGGCGCTGCAGGAGAGACTCGTCACTTTCTCCTGTCATGAGAATACACAGCACAAAGCTTTCTCGAGGCTGATTCACGAGACCTCCTAATTTGGGCAGTAACCCTCCGAATTTATAAGCCCTGTAAATTCAAATTACAGACCCATCCTCAAAGACAGATTATTTGCACGTGATTTAGCTGTTAGCTTGCAGGATTGATAAAGACCTTGAACGCGCGTGGCCTTCAACCTGCGCTTGCTGCTTAATGGACACTCAAAAGCAATGAAAACCTGGTGTGAGAAACAAGTAAAAGCGGCACCATTTTGCAGATGTGAAAACTGAGGAGCGGAATGACTTGGACAGGATCCCATTGAGTAGTTGTGGTAGAGCAGGGACCTGGATCCTGGCTCCAAGCCTGCTCTGTAGGAGAATTAGGCAGAAAAACATGGGTCCAGTTCTCAGTCTTGCTGTGTCCGGCGTTCGGGTGGGGAAGCAGCACAGAAAAAGGATTGCAGCCTCATCCAAATGTTGTCCTGACCTCATCTGCAGTTCAGTGCTTGGTTCTGCTCGCGCAAGGATTGCTCAGCGCAATCTTCCTGGCGAGGCAGAAAGGCAGCAGTTGCTATCGAACGTGTGGGTTTCCCTGTCTGAGCACCTTGAAAACTGAGTCACCAATACCCTGATCGTATCACAAGTAGGAAATCTCCGTCTTCCCACATTTATCCGTACTAAACCACAGTTATGCAAAGCAGAGTAACACAAGCACAGTCAAGTGTTTGTGGAGAAACCAGGATATTTCACAGTGTGAAAGTCCCTCTTGTTTAGGAGGTTCTGAAGGCGCTTTCCCTGCCATATAAGACACGAGCAGATGAATGGTTTTGTTGCTTGCTGAAAAGCTGGCATTTGAAAACATGACAAGTTTATCCTTGATTCCCCCAGGAGTGAGTTTGCCACATCTGGAGCAGGATTAAATGGCTTTTAGGGCTGGGTTTTTTTCCCTTTGTACCTGTTTTAAAATTAGGGCTGTTCTTGTATTCATTTCTGTCTCCATTGAGACACAGGAGAACTGATCTGGAGCCCCCCAAAGTCAATGAATATCCTTTACTCCTGTGGGGTTTGGGTTGTAACACAGCGGTGGCAAACACTTTGAAAGGAGATCTTCGCCTCTCTGTGCTAATCCTTAAAGCAAGGAGCTCACCAACCGCATGTTGAAAATAGGAAAAGGAGAGAGCAACACAGAAGAGAACTTTTGAACAACCTCAGACAACAGCTCATTCTCTAAGTCCTATTCCAGTGAACACGACCCAACTACTTCCCATACGACAGGATCAGAGAGAAACAACCGTGGTCAGTGACAGGAAAGGAGAAGTCAGGACTTACCGACTGCGGAAAATACAGTCAGGACGACTGGGAGTTGCTTCATGAATAACTACGCACGCAGCGCTGGGAGAGCAGGCACTTGATCCTGGGTGCGAGGTGAAGCACCTTTTACAAAAGCAAAATTCCTGTGTGTGAGGCCAGGTTGTATCTGCTTCTCAGCGCCCGGCTGCCGAGCTGCTGTCCAAAAAACGGCGCGCAGCAGCTCCGGGGCTGCGCGCATGTCTGAGAGGGAACGTCAGAGTGACAAGAGGAGCACCTCTGCCTGGCGGAGCGGGCACACCTGGCTGTGCGAAGGTGTACAAGCCAAGGGCTTAGAGAATCCCCAGCTTTTGGAAGAGAGCCAAAGAGCACGGTGCTGATAAAGCGCTTCCTGCCTGAAAGCCCTCACGGAGGTTCCGCAGTTTGGGGCCACGCTTTTCTGGTCGGGTGACTTTGACTTGTGAAAAACTCTAGAAATTAGAGCTGAATGCCGTGTGCCTTGTTGGTTTTATAAGTGCTGCAGGCCAGGCACTTATTTCCTTAAGAAAAAACCTTTGAATGCTTTCTTAAAATGAAACTCAGCCCAGTGACTGGTTCTTAAGCTCTTCTGTTGTTCCTGCTGGCCTGGGCTGGGAGCCAAATGACGAAGCGCGTGGCCCCGCTGCACCCTGGGCAGAGCTCCTCAGCGTTGCCAGGACTCTGCACGATGCGGTGGCTGCCGAGGTTCTCTCATCTGGCGTCGGGAGGAGGTGGCCTTGCCATAGCAGGACCATGTGTGGCCCTCTGGCTTTTCTCAGAGGCTGCTGTTAGACCTACAGGTTATTTTCCTGGCCGCTTACAATGTAGGCCTCTGTTCTGAGTGCTGGGAGTGCTGTACGGTAAGAATTGGGAGTTTATATGCAATCTAAATGAGAAAGAGAAAGTCTTCCTTTTCCACAGCGTTCTGAGTGGTTTAGAGCGTTGTTAAGTTATGTTTTCAGGTTTTTCTCAGAAGAGGGAGAGAGGTTTGCTTCATCGGTCAGAAGGGAAAACTAATTGCCCGTCTCCTGGTGATGCAGGTGTAGAACCCCCAGCTGAGTGTGACACGTGGAGAGCTGGTACAGCTGCACGCTGCTGGTTCTACCGCAGCACGAAAAGCCTTGCCTGTACAGCCTGCCTTGGGGGCTTAGGAAACGTCCTTAGCCCCTGCTTTTGAGGTTTTATAGTGTAGCTGTTTGCCTGATACAAACTGGATAACGTCTCTGGCTGACTTTATCCCATGGTCATAACTGTTCCCAAAATGAGAGGTCCAGTCCTCAGTTTTGCCTGGCTCTGACAGGACCACGGCGTAAAGCCGACGTTCCACCGAGGCAGAGACCAGCTGGACTGTGTTTCCGAGGTGAGCACCGAGAGCTGTTCCAATTGCGATCGCTTCAGCCCTTGAAAAGCTTTCACAGAAATATCTGCCTTAAACCACAAAGGACAACTGCGCATTAGACAAATTCGTTATCAGAAGGGCTCTTATAGTGTCTAAAGCTTCTTTAAAGCTCCTAAATTCTAGATTTTTTTCTTTTTATGGTGAGTCCCATAAGCAACCTCCTATGTGCAGCCAGTTTTAATCAAATACAAGCCATGTGTGCTTCTGAAGCTGAAAGCACACTGCTTTCACTGTTCTGTCCTTGGGGTCGGACACGTGATAGAAATCACTACCCCTTCTGCTTACCTCCTCACCTCATGGATTTTCTGTTCCTAAAGTTCTTTCTGTTTCCCTGCCCTGCGCTGATAGAACCCGGGCTCAACGCTCCAGCCCCTGGCACTGATGCAGAGCTGTCATATTGTCTTTTTCATCTTGTTTGGACAAGAGCAGAAACCTCACAGGTTTATTTAAAGAGGACACACCTATCCACCGGCATGGCCCGCATCTAATTAAGTACAACTCTTCATTAGGGTGTTTCCTGAATAGCTTGCAAAAGTATTTCCATTTTTTAACTTCCCTCACGTCACTGCCTCATACTTCTGCCGTGTGATGACCCATGGTAGCGCAGAGGTGAGGGAAATTGTAGTGCACCTGCGACTTTAGTTTTCAGAACGTAACTTAAACCTTTATTTCTGCCCTTATTTCTAGAGAGATGTTACATTTGAAGGCCTGTAACTCTTGAAAAACATTTGAAAGGGTGGCGCTGTGCTCTGGCCGTCCCTCACCCTTTTGGAGTGGAAAGTGGGTCTCAAGCCCCCGTGGAAGAAAACACGGAGGATCGGGACGCTGCTGCCACCGGTAGAGCTGCCCTGGGCAGCAGCTCTTCCCCCAGCTGCCACCCGGAGAAAACCTGGACAAGACAAAGTTCTCATCCTGGGCTCTGTTTGTGGAGCTATGACATGCCAAAGGCATTTTGTAAAGGTTACACAACTTCAGAGCTTCCTGTAACACGGAGCCTGGGATTTTTTCCTTGATTGCTCAAGAAGATGGGTGGTGATTGTGTTTGGGTGATCTGTATCTTGCTAAATGAACAGGAGGGGTTACAGCGCAGGATGTACCTAAGGACACTGTGCGGAGGACAGGTCGGAAAAAAAAGGAAAATTCTAGTTGGCGAGTCTTTTCGCCCACCTCCCCTTTAGTTCAGGGCCTTCACGAGTACATCTTGCTTTGCTCTTCCAAAGCAGTTCCCAACCTCTCCTGTCACCCCCTACCTCTTTCTAATGTTCTCAGTTCTCAGATGCCAGCTTTAACGCTGTCACCGCTCTCCCCTCATCTGAGACACGTCTCTGAATGCGGAGAGTGGCTGTTGGGTGTCTCCCTCTTTCTTTTCCTGCTTTGCTGCTCTGTGTGCCCTTTTCCCGGCGGAAGGCGGGACAGTACGTTTCTGTGAGACCTGAAGAGCACCAATTAAAAATACACTGAAAAGGTTGGATTGCCCCATCAGGGGAGGTCTTGTCTTTTGCTGGTGGACTTCTGATTTGATTCTTTGCTCAGAGGGATGCTCACAGGCCTGGTCTTTCAGTGACCCAGAGTGACCTGATTGGGAAGTCTCAGAGGATTCCGCTCAAACCAAAGCGTTAGGAAGCCCCTGATGGGGTCTTGTTTTAAAATGTAAAGTTTTTCAGAGTGAGCTGCAGTCACCCTTTGTAGTCTCGAGAAACACAGAAACACGCACACACACGGATTTCTAAATATATAAAAATATTTTTGCCTCTGCATAAAGCAGCTCTCGGACATTCTGCACAGCAGGAGGGAATTCAGCTTCAATAAACAGAATAAATAAATAAATAAACAAAGATGCCGCACATTTATCACTTTGCCTTCAGTTCACTCTGCTGAAACACAGAAGATTCCTGTGTCACACGGCAGATCCCTGTGGATTGAGGTGGAGATCCCTTCATCACAGAAAAAGCAAAGGCTGCCAGACGTCTCTGCAAGGTGCTTGCAGCCAAGCAGGGCTGCAGGTTTGCAGTCACAGAAGCCCGGGTGAGGTGAGCGGTTCCGCCTGGCTCAGAACCAACACGCACGCACGACACGCTGCGTTTTCAGAACCCGGCTGGTGCTTTCAGGCAGGTCCAGCTTGTGGGTTTGCTGTCTGGGAGGTGTTCTGGCCTTTCATAACTCCCGTGTCAAAGTTCCCTTGCTCTGACGTCTGGCCCGGTGGGATGACTCCGTGCCTCGCCCCGGGCTGGGGTCGGGCAGTGCCTCTCACACCAGAGCCTCAGCACCTTAGCGCAGCTCTGCGGGTACAGGTGGGCAATGTACTGGGGTTACTTAGCAGTAAAAATAGATCTTCTGTGTCCCTAAAGCCAGATGTCGTGATAAGCCAGGCATTGGTAGAAAAAACTCTGTCTAGGTGAATAAATACAAAAAGCACCAGTAGCAGTTGTGTGTCCTGGTTCAGGTGTCTTTGCTCTGGGAATCTGAAGCTCTCGAACGTTTTCCCAGCACGCGACAGAACTCTAGCTCCTTCCCACGTAATGTGTGTGCTCACAGCCTTTGGATTTAAATTTTGGATCGTATTTTTCCTTCATACTTGAAGCTCCAAATGCGTCACTTAGCACCGTGGACGCGAGAGGTGTCCCGTCGGTAAAATTATCGCTGTCCCAGTCACTCGCGATACCTTCGTCTTCTGCCACCGGTAATGTCTGAAAGGCAAAGAGCAGCTTGGCGCTGGGCTGCTCGCTGAGCTGGGCGCTCTCTCCTGCCTGGACGGGTTTCTGGTAACATTTGGTGACATGATGAGCTTTCCTGTACAGGTCGTGCTGATCAGCTGGAAGTTTGTCATGGAGCCCCTCTGCCAGTGTTTGGAGAGGGGACGTTTCCCGGCGTTCATCCCCGTCTCTGTCTTGCTGTCCGTGTTCCCCGAGACCTGGGAATCTCACGTCAGCGAGGGATATTCTTCCAAAAGAGGAACTGCGAGAAAGGGATGCCGACTCGTTTCCCTGGGATCCTGAGGTGTCCACCTCATTCTTTCTCCCTGGGAAGAAGGAAAAGCCCAGGGTGCTCAGCTCAAGCACGGATTCGGAGTCCACAGAGAGACCTCCAGACCCAGAGTCCAAGCTGGCGTCCCCCTGAGCTGCTGTGGGTGGTTGACAGTTGAGATGTCTCTTTGGAAACCGAGTCATTTCAGTGTATGGGATGACAGTACCGCTGTCTTCTTCATCCTCCTCCTCCTCCGATGATGATGATGATGACAGGGAAGAAGCCATCCATGGCAGGCTGTTTCTTGCCAAACCTTTGCTCGTCTTCCTTTCCAGCACTGGCTTCTCTGTGCAGTTCAGGTAATCCCTGAGGAATTCCTTTTCACTGAGCTCCAGGTGAAAGTGTGTCCCGAGAGCTTTTAAATGCGAGAAATCCTACCACGGGAAAGAAGCAAGACACACGGATCGGGGACTTAGCGATGCTTTTAAAAAAACCAAGTTTGTGTATAGGAAAGTGTACTTAAAAGGCTTTAGGAATGCAGAGCTGAGAAGCACAGAACTCTCCCACTCCTCCCCAGTTACCCAGTGAAAATCAGCCAGACGCCGGGTCGGGAGGGAACCCCAGCGTTGGGGCCGTACCAAAGCACGAGGCATCTTTCGCTCAGCATCTTCTTTCAGCAAGCACACGACGAAGGCGCTTATCAGAGCGACGGGGAGGACAAATGCCGGGATCGTGGCAGAAAATGGGAACTTCCGTTCTGCTGCTGAAAAAAAAAGCGAAAAGAACAGCGTCCTGCTGGTGCTATATTTTATAAGCATAATGGGCTGTCGTAATCAGGTTTTCTTTCAGAAATCGCAGAAAATGTTAGGCTCGAGAACCAAATTTTACCAATGCAGAGAAAAGATAACAGGCTTGCCTCAGATCAAAGCCGGAGTCCCAGCCACAAATGAATGCTGATACCAGGTAGTGCCTTACTTAGAGGTAAAAAATGCAGCTTTGTTAACGTATTTTTCAGGATAAATTTGAACATTCCCAAAATGTCATTGTGACCATAATGCAAGTACAATATTTCAGGATTTTCAGGAAATATTTCAGGGTTGGATTTTTTTAATGAGCAAGAAGTTGTAAGAGCAAGAAGTTTTGACTAGAAAATCCAACGGGTCCATTTAACAGGTAGGCCCTTTTTTTTTTTTCTGAAAAGCAAATTTTGGTGAAAATCTGTGACTCTCCCCAAACCTTCCTGATGTCTCAGCACATCCTTTTCTCAGCAGGGCCATACCTTTGTGGTTTAACAGCACACACACTGGCTGGGAGAATTCGCTGTGCTTGAAGTCAATGCTTTGCAAGGAAGATCTGGCACTTAAGCAGTAGTTGCCTTGAAGCGCAGTTGTGTCAATCGTCACTGTTTTCTTCCTGAAGATACCTTCATATCGCTTCTGTTTAGAAACAAAAAGAACAGAGGTGTGGAAAGATGATCCTTTCATGACCTGGGGGGTGTTTCTTTCTCTTCTTTGGTTTTCTTCATTACGCTGTGTGGCTCTGGTGGCTGGAAGGTGCGTGGAGAGGCACCTTGTTTTGTGCTTGCTGGGTGTAGGAAGCGTCTCTCCCAGGGCTTGTGGATCCTGGGGTGGGGTTGGCATCGGGTGCCGTGCTCTGTTCTGCCCCAGCACGCTGCTCGCGACACCCCAACTCGTCGTTTTAAACCTCAGCTGTTGCCCCATTATACTGACTGTGGTGTAGCCTCTCCATCACATCTTCCTGATAGAAATAGGGAACTACCAATAAAATGATGTGTGCACACACACATCTGCTTTAACTCTGGTTTGGCCATTTAATTTTCTCCAGGCCCTGGGTTCAGTCCCTCCCTGCCCAGAAATTTGAAGCTAATTCAATTCAGGCCAAGCCTCATCCCTGCGTTTCATCTCGGAGGCACTGCTCTTACCCACCTTGTCTTCAGATCCAGCTTCCCAAAGGTTCAAGTCGTACATCCAGGAGAAGGTTTCCACGCAGGCGGCCAAAGGGAAGGAGGCATTCACATGGAGTGAGTTCTCCTCGACCTTCACGTTTAGCGCTGGGGGAGCCAGTTCCACTGCAATGGAGTGACCAGACATAAGAATCAAGCTTGCTTGTGAGTTAGAGTAACGCTTGCTTGTGAGTTGGAGCCAGTTTGTTCACCTGCAGCATTGGTGAGCAAACTAACACCTGCTACAAAATTAATTTTCAGATGATGATGGCTCGTTGTTGTTATCGCCCTCGTAGATCTCGGTCATTCATAAAGCCGCCTGTTACGGCTTCTCTTTCGGAGGGCTGTGGTCTCCTCGTTTGCTCCTGCCAACCCTCTTGGGATGTCCTTTCACCAAGACACTCACCATCCAAATGGTATTCCTTGAATTGTGATTCTACCCACGGCGACCGGAATCGTTCGGAAACAGCTTTTACTCGAGCTCGGGCTTTAACGAACAAGTTTGGAAGCACACAAGTCAGATCGCAAGAAGTTCGGTGAATATTTTTGCAATGAGGAACCTTTATCCATTTGTCCATGCGGTCCTGACTGAAAGAAGAAAGCAGCATACCGTAACATCAAACGTGCTCTTTTGTTATAATTTATAGAACAAGAAAAGGAAGCGTTTTGGAGGGTGGGTACCTATTCTTGGTCAGAGTTCAAAGCCCTTTCCACGTGGGTAAGGACTAGTTTTGGTGAAAGGATGCAGCCAGGTCACTGCTGCTGACACTGATTACTGCACGTGCCCGGATGTTTGCCCTGTGCCGGCCTCCGTGAGCCCTTACCTTTCGTACCGCACGGTGTATGTCACGTTGGGTGGGGAGCCTTCTCCTGGAGTCCATGTCAAAATCAGGTCAAAATCCTTTGACAGTAGCGTAACATTCTGAGGAGGGGGAAGTTGAACGTGACCTGATTGAAAAACAAAATTACGCGGATGATTTAACATATCTTTGGGGACCTTTGGGGAAATATCACCTGGTTTTGACTGAGGTGGTTTCAAAATTTGGGGCAGAGCAGCTCCGTTCATTTAAGACTGGTAATTGTCTGTCTGTGATGCTGTTGCGTTTTCCTCATCTTTATAAAACATCTTCATCTCTACAGCTTTTAGAATTAGGACCTACATTTGTGGGAACCATCCAGTTCTCTAATTTTGAGTGGCTTCCCGCGTCGTCTCACTGGATTTCGCTGACACCGGATTTACAATCCCACAAACTCCAGCCTGAGTCCCTTGGGCTCCCACCTCCTGGCCCCGGCCGCGGCTCACACTGCTCACTCCAGCCCGGTTCTTCAAAGGCACGTCCCACCTCCAGCGCAGCGAGACGCAGCCGGCAGGCTTCACACCTGGGCTTTGCTGGCACCTCTTTTTTCTAGCAGATAAACCCTTACACAGCGCCAGCCTTCAACAAGACACGTTCTACAGACAGCTTTTAAATTGCTCTTTCTTTGCGGGGGAATATCTCACTTGAAGCGCATCATCCCCATGTAAACCGCTTCAAATGTACCTGTGTACATCTTTCCTCCTGGAAAATAACGCAGCGAAATAACAGCGACAAAGAGCTCTACTGTACCTCTCGTCTGCTGCAGGAAGCACAGGGTGAGCAGGACTCTGACCTGCCTGGCAGACATGCCAAAGCAGAACTTTTCAGCTTGTAATACAGTTCTGTTCTTGCTGCCTTTCCATCGTGTTGTTCTCTCGTAGGAAGCCGTGTGACTTACGTGCAGTTCGTGAGCTCCCGGCCTCGCTTCCTGGTGCAGATACAGAACTGCACCTCGAGCTGGGGAAGGAGCGGATGTGAGAGCGATTTTGATGAAAGGAAAAGGGTGTAAAGATTGCGGTAACTACGCCCTCTAGTGTCACCTCACCGAGCTCCGTCACATGCTACGTGCAAAAGGAAAACGGTAAAACAGAGCCTTATCTTGTGAGGCACCTCGTTAAAAAAATTCACCTTTGGAATTTACCTGTGTGGGTAGGAAATAGTAACAGAAATCAATGAAAGTTTTACTGGCTGAGATACCTGGCAATAACTAGCAGTAGTAAAAACCAGTACCCAGTCAGTAGTGAGTGATATTGCGGTGGTCTGCTGTTTACTAGAGATCAAGGATTTTCTCTTATGTTACCAGATTAAGATTTTGTTTTCAGAAATTAGGGGATTACTCCACTTTACGGCTGAGGGAAGTAAAGTGCCAGACCAGGACAGGGATCTGCCCCGTACACCATGTGGGCGAATGACAGGATGTGGATCCTTCGGATAAATCCTGTGGTTTGGTTGAATGCCAGTGCTGCAATTTTTTTAAACCTTAGTTACCGCTTTTCAGCTATTTGCCATCAACCCCAAAATATCAGGAGCAGCTGCCAGGACTGGGCCAACACACAGGTGGTTCTCAGCCCCTGCACTGCCTGGGCACCTTTCGGTTGACCTTGGCATTTACAGCTGTGAAACTCCCCAGGTGTTTGCATTTCCAGCACGCGGTATCATCGAACCCCCGAGCTCTGCTGGGGCAAAGCTCAGTTCCTGAGTCACTGCTCTACGTTACAGCCTCTCACATCTTCCCAAAGCGAGGTCTCAGAGACAGCAGATTTGTTCTGTGTGTGTTGGAAACATCGCAGGAAACATCCTGGCTGAGCTGGGAGCTGCCAAGTCCAAGGTGCCCGGTGTGCAGGCTGGGGGTGGCTGTGCTGCTGCGTCCCGTGCGCAGAGAGAGAAAAGGGGGAAAACCGGCCGGCTCAGTCGTGCTCTTCGGTTGACACGTCTGCTCTCCTGCTCTTAGCATCCCAATCACCTCCAGGCCTGCACCATGAGGAGAGGAAATGAGTCCATGGGGTTCCTGCACACAGCACAACACCGGCACGGAGGAAAGGGGATTTTCTGGGTCTTCCCTGGATGGAAAACTCAGCCAGCAGACAGCCCACTGTTACAGCCGAGGGGGCTGGGTTTGCATTGGCAAAAGCTTGTGTGTTTACCCTGGAGGTATCGAACGGCGCATTTCCCTGAACGCGGGATGATTCAGGCCGTAGGAGGAGACGCAGTCACACGGCTGTTCAGTCACAACTTCTTCCAAAAATCTCCTTTTCTTCTAACCAGGCACTGTTATCAGTACTTTTCTTCTTCCTTGACTCTTTGCTACCACTGTTTTAATTGCTGGGAAGTTTCTTTCTCATGCAAAAAGAACTATAATCCTGGATAAGGAAAAAACCAAAGCTGAGGGTCTGGAGGGTTCTAGGTCAGTTCCCCTTCAGCATCCGACCAGCGGAGCTGCGACCATCGCGCGGTTCTTGCGCTCCCTGCAGCAGCCTCAGCGGAACTGGAAGCAACTCTAGGGCCCGTCTCGTTAAGGTCTTGCTCAGAGCCCTCGGGCTGCAGCTTCTCTTAAGGATGACGCGTGCGTTTCAGTAAGCGTTTGCCAGAGGTGAATCTTACCTTTGGAACATCTGCCCTGAAATCTGGGCTCCACCGGACTCTGTGGCAAAACTCCCCCAGATTTTAGGGTGACCAAGAACCTGTTGCAGGAAAACCAAGCGCAGTTGGCAGCGAGCCCGGCGGGGACGGAGGGGAGACCTGTGCCACGAGGTGTCGCTGCCTGTCAGACAAAATACTTTGATTGCTCCAAGCGACAGCCTCTCACCTAGACCCGTGTAAAAACTTGGCAAGCTTCACTAACCCTCCTTCCTCCCTCCGCCGAGCCTTGCGCCCTCCTGTTCTGTTCAGTTTGATGAAGAGGAGGCTGA